GATGCAGACCAGCACCCTTCCATTTGACAGCAGCCCAACAAAACACCACATTTACAGTAGGCCAACCATTTGACAGCAGCTCCAGAGAATGTACTCTAGGCCTCCTCAGAAAACATTTTACTTGACGCAGTAAGCAGCAGATAGATACCAAAGCTACACCATAAACTTCACTACCAAAGATACACCAAAAATACCTCCCACATCATTCTGGACAACAACCCTTCCAGGGCAAATCAGCAAAGCCAGGGCAGAGATAAACCAGAGAAAAAAAGCATAGAATGGCAGAGTAGAAAAACATGAGCCCAGGGCCTGCACTTCTGCACTGAGTGGGTACACCCACAGCAAAACTCCACCCATTTCAGTACAACTCAGCACCTCCAAAACACATTCTGATCTGCCCTAAATTACAGATGAAATCATTGGTTGAGAAATGGAACTCTTGAGGAATATGGAATCAACCACAGAGCCATCCTAGTTTTAACCAATTCACACAACTCCATCAAATTTGGATTAGCTGCCTTAAACACACATTCATTTATGAGTTTATTGACATTTACGAAGATAGATCCCCCTTCATTATTTTGAGTTTCCTTTGCATTTGTGCACCAATTGAACATTCACATTGCTCAAATTATGGCATGAACTAAAGCATGATATACATCAAGATTCTACATCAACATCTGTATCAAAATCACTTTGTAGGTCATATTCTTCATCTGTGTCGTCACCCTCCCTCATTAATACATCTTCATCATCACAGTTGAAGGCATCATCTGTAACACCCTTGGCTTCTACCCCTCTGACAGATTGTAAAACTTCCATGGGAATAATTTTAGATTCAATATCATCTCGACGCAAAACCACATCATCATCAATAGCCATAGCAGGTACGACCTCGGTGGTTTCTTCTTGTTGGAACACATCATCAGGTTGTATGACATCCATCTCTGGCACATCCCAAATTCCTCGATGTTGGAACTTTTCAACGACTCTCTAACTGGTACCTAATTTGGTGTCATTAACATAGAATACTTGTTCAACTTGACTTGGTAATACGAATGAGTCATCTTTGTACCATCGACTTGTTACATCAACTGTTGTGAAATATGGCTCTACACGCATAGTTCTACTACTACCGCTGTTAAACCATTCACATTGGAACAATACAATCCGACGTCTGAACAAATAGTTCAGTTCCCACACTCTGCACAAGTGTCCATAGAAGTGTATCAATTGCCCTTCATGCTCCCCTTCCACAACTAATCCACTATTCTGACTTTTCCGATGGTTGTCACGATCGATAGTATAATAACGGACACCATTACAAATACGTCTTGAATATGTGTTCACTAAGCCACTAGGACCATTGGCTAATGACCACATATCATCAGTTGCTTCGGGGGAAACTTGGCTCCGCAATTCATTCATCTACATGAAGAACATGTGTCATGTTACTAGCATGCGTGACATTTACGTAATGTACGATCTATGGTAGGATATGAGAATACTAGCTTACATGATCTTTGAACCATTTTGGAAATTCTTTCCGATGTCTGTTTTCGATGTCGAACGCACCGGCTCTTTGGTGTAACAAGTTCTTATGCTCCCTAGTTATAAGAAATGCGATTCAAAAACTATTTACTAAGATAAAGACTAATCAATTTACAACAAAAACTTTATAAATACGTTTGAAGGATTCATACTCTACGTGTTTATCCACTTCTGTGCTATTGTGTAGGACAAACCTGTCACATCCCAAAACCCGCCCCTAAAGGTTTGGGAATGACCTAAGCAAAACTTGACATAAAAACTGGTGTACACACCGTACGGGGCCTTATCGGAAGCATAAAATATTAATATAACGAAAATACAAGCATACTCCATTGAGCTATTTCTAATATGCCAGGATCTCATGCATTACATACATCATCAAAAGCGGATAAAGTTTAAAACTATATCCTTGGATATCGTGTATAACATATACATTTACAGTCCTAGCCCGATAATTGGGCATAACAAAAGGGATATAAAAGTTAAGTACAACATCCATAGGTGGCTCTCAAAAGCAGACCCATATCTTAGCAGCTTCACAAAAATAGATGGCCTGGTATGGTGCTTGAACATGTAAAGGTTGACAAAAGGGACAGCGTCAAAGTTAGGACTGACCCCCTGACTGATAACCTACAGAAACAGACATGATAGAGAGTGAGCCGACCTCAATGAGTAGTAATACATAATGAAAGACGTCTGACTTGAAGCTTAACTACATCAATACATAAAGAGATGTAGCATGCACATAATTTGTCTGATTCTGCATTTAGCTCATAATGGCCCTAGGCCTATTCCCGTGACATAAGCTTGTGGCTATAAGCCCTTGAAACATGATGGCACGAGGCCCTTGAACATATGGCATGAGGCCCTTGAACATATGGCACGAGGCCCTTGATCATATACTTGAAACTTGTGGCACACGGCTCTTGAAAATGGCATATAGCCCTTGTAACTGCTTTTCTTTACATATAACATTAATATATCTTAAGCATGCATAAGAACATTACATGCTTGAGACATTAACATGATTGCATAACATAACATAAGTACTACTACTCACAGTGTTGAGATGGCGTGTTGCTTCCTTCTGGAATGTGCCCTGCACACAAGTAATACATTAGTCTCTCTTTTTTATAAAGCATTTCCTGAGTTTTACACCTTGCATGCTTACAACCACTTTAAAATCATCTGTAAAACATTCTAAAAATACCAGAGAAACAAGCACTCAAAGCTGAACAAACATTTAATTTTTCCTGAAAATGAGTCCTCCGCTCGAGCGTAGCTTTGGCCGCTCGAGCGGACTGTAAATTGCACAAAACTGCTGAGAGGTGGTTTTTCCCGCTCGAGCGGGCTTTCCTACGCTCGAGCGGACCAAGCGAATTTTCTGAAATTTTGGACCTTCATTCGAGTCCCAACCAGGTATTCATTCCATTTTTACATGCAACCCAAGGTTAGGTTAATGCAATATACTCACCTAACTTCACTATAACATGAATTCTACCTTGAGTATCATAAATTAAGCAAGATTAGGAGCTTTAAAAAGTCATCTCCCTCTCTAATTCCCCTCTTGAATTCAAGTTCTTTCATATCTTTGAAACATAACACATGATATATACATAATTCCATGAAGTGATGATAGAAAACCATAGATTGAAGTATACTTTCATACCACACCCAAATCTAGATGCCTAAGCAACCAAGTAAGAGAAACCCTCATCATTCATGCATGAATTAGACATGAATCAAACATACACATCAATACAAACTCTAAGTGGCCATAGCAAGAAGGATTTGAGCTTACCTTGAATTCAATCCTACACCTCTAACAATTTTGCCAAGCTTCCTTGTGGAATCCCTTCTCCCCCGATTTCTCCTCTTTTCCCCCAAAAATGGTATTCACGTTTGTTTGTTTTTTCTTTCTTGTTGAATCCCTTCTCTCCCAATTTCTCTTCTTCACTTTCTCTTCTTTTCTCCCCTAAAATGGTGTTCACGTTTTTTTTGTTTTTTTTTTTGACCAAGGCTCTTGAAGTCTAAGAAGTATATATATTCATAACTAAGGCATATAAGACAAAAAAATGAATCGTTTAATCATTTCAAAATTAAAATTTCGCAAACATGCTTAATATTACTTAAACATTATGCTGATCACAAATATATAATCAATTTCAGCTAATTAAGCTGTTAAGGCTTCCAATTTCTAATTCAAACGCGTTGATGGTGACAGATAGTTTCCTTGTGAGACAGATAGGCATTCATAGACATGGATTTCACTTCCTTAATCATAATTTTTCACGGAACTACACAATAAGCATTTAAGAAATCATGTACGAGAGTCGGGTTATTACACCTAGAGCATTCATTCTCTCACGGTTTTTATTAATATTCTTCATTCTTTGTTTCTCATAGTTCGTTACCTTCTTAGTTGCGGTATTTGGTTTGGTCAATTGCTTTTTTGTAGCGTCCATTTTGCCCAACTATAAAGCATAATTGAACATTTTTTTGGTGGATACGCATAATTGAAATTAGATGTAAAGAAAAGATAATTATATATTTCTATACATAAAGCATAAAGCAACAACAATCTCAACAAGTGGATATGTCATATAGGCTCTAAATCAAATACGAGGGCTGAGTTAATACCTCTCAATTGGGTACATCCATCGATATTGCATTGGGCCTCCAAGCATAGCCTCTCGAGGCAAGTGAATCGCCAAGTGGACCATGACATCGAAAAAAGCCGGTGGGAAAATCATCTCAAGCTTACAAAGTATGAGTATGATTTGTTCATCCAATTTATGCAAATCTGAACGCCTCAATGTCTTTGAACACAATTGTTTGAAGAAATTTCCCAACTCAAAAAGTGTCGTTCCAATTTCCTTATTAAGGTAGCCACGCATCCCAATTGGAAGAAGTCGTTGTATAAGAACATGACTGTCATGACTTTTGAGGCCATATAATTTTCCAGCTTGAGCGGTCACGCAATTGGAGATATTTGCTGCATAGCCATCAGGGTACTTCATTGATTTCAAGAAATCACAAAAGCCTTCTCTCTCTTTCACCGACAATGTATACAATGCGGGAGGCTTCTCAAAGGACCCATTAGAACGCCTCTTCAAGTGTAACTCTTTACGTATTTTCATGTCCTCCAAATCTAAGCGTGCTTTGTCCGTGTCCTTGTTCTTTCCATCTACGCTCAAAAGTGTCCCAACGACATTGTCACATATGTTCTTCTCAATATGCATGACATCAAGGTTGTGTCGAAGCTTCAACGTTTTCCAATAGGGCAAGTCAAACATAATGCTTCTCTTGCTTCAATTCAAATTTTGATGTTCATTCCTTTGTCGTTTTCGATTTTGTGGGTGTTTTCCATACGGCTTGTAAGTCCCAGAATCAATTTGCTCTAGTATTTGGTCCCCCGATAAGTCCAAAGGTTTGGACCTATGCTCCGTTCAAGCATTGAAGAGCTTACTTGTTCGCCAAGTGTGGTTCTCAGGCAAGTGGCGACGAGCACCCATAGACCCTATTTTACTTCGTAATCCCTGGGATGATGCATTATTGTTACAATTAGGGCAAGCCAAGTAACCCTTTGTACTCCACCTTGACATGTTACCGTACGCAGGGAAGTCATTTATGGTCCACATTACCGCCGCATGCATTCTAAAAATTTGCCCATTCGATGCATCATATGTTTGTACACCATGCTCCCACAAATTCTTCAATTCTTCTATTAGTGGTTGCAAGTAAACATCAATGTCTCTTCCAGGTGCCGAACGTCCGGGAATAAGCAATGACATCATGCAATATGGCTTTTTCATGCACTTCCACGGTGGGAGATTGTAAGGCATTAAGATTACGGGCCACATGCTATATGATGTGCTCATATTCCCAAATGGATTGAAACCATCTGTTGCCAGCCCTAGCCTTACATTTCGAGAGTCATCAGAAAACGTTGGATGTTGCTTATCAAAGTCCTTCCATGCTTCACCATCGGCCGGGTGCCTTAATATGTCATCATCCACACGCTTCTCATTGTGCCATCTCATATCTGCGGTTGTTTTTTTGGACATAAACAGTCTTTTCAACCTCGGTGTCAAAGGAAAGTACCGCAATACCTTGTGTGGAATCTTTTTACCACCATCATCGTTCAACTTGTATCTACACGCGTCACATGTAGGGCATTTCTCCAAATTAGCACTCTCCTTCTAAAATAGTGCACAATCATTCTTGCACGAATGAATTGTTTCATATCCCAAACCCAAGTCACGTAAGAACTTCTTAGCATCATAGAGTGTCCATGGAACAATTGGATCACATTCTGGTAGAATGTCCTTGAATACCTGCATAACCATATCGAATGACTTGTTGCTCCATTTGTTGTACACCTTCACATGAAGCATCTTAATGACGAATGATAACACAAAAAACTTTTCACATGTCGGGTGAACTTTGCATTGTGCATCTTCGAATAACCTAGTGAACTTATGTAAATCCTCCCTCTCCAAACCATTAGGTTCCTCGTCGGTATGATCATCCATAAGACCACTCACGTAAATTTCTTCCAACATAATAGGCAATTCATCCATGGATGGATCATCGATATCTGTCATACATTTGCCACTACCTCCACATTGGTCATTTGATACACTAGGACGAGACACGGGAACATGTTCCCCGTGATGCACCCAAGTTAGATATGAAGATGCCATGCCTCTTCGGATCAAGTGCATCCACACAACTTGTCTGCTATATTTTGTGCCATTAATGCAATCGACACACGGACACCTAATTTCATCATCCACACCTAAATTTGCCGTAGCAAAATCAAGGAATGACTTCACCCCTTGTTGATACTCTTTACTTGTCAGCCTATTATTTATCGTCATCCAACTCTTGTCCATTTTGTCACCTACAACTCACACAAAGATTAACCGAGGAACAAATGAGAACACGCATTTCAAGTTGAGATATATTATGTTGTTTTTCATTCACTGTTTGGCTTGTCACATAAATCTCTTTTAGGGTGGAACTTTATGACACGATTTGTTCTAAAACAATGCGTAATTATGGAAGTTAATTTAAGAAATGACCCGTAATTTTGGACCACTAGATAGCATAACTAGTAGAGCACTAGTACTAGTGAAACCATATGGTCAATAATAGAATGATATATCAAAATAATCAAAACCATTTTATTATGAATACTACTTTTATATAAAATGATATAGTTTATTATGATTTCTTCATTTACTATTATTCTATAATTTATAAAATAAAATAAAAGAAAACTATTCACACATCAGTCTCGATATATTTTATAAATTATATATATTTTCAAATCATTTTCTTTTAGCCAAAAAAAAAAGAGTGTAAAATGAATTTTTAGTATGAAGCAACGCTTCAAAAACACCAAATAATTTTTGATTGGAGGCCCTTTGAAATTGTGGAATACCACAATTATAACCAATAAATCTGCAAATATAGCTTCTTAGATGAGTCGCTCTCCTTGCCTCTCATTACGTATTTGTTTGGTGAATCCTCAGTTATAGATGCATTTCAAAAAAGAAATGCATAGCTCATGTGAGAGTGATTTATCATTATAACTTGGTAGCCTTGCATTGTTCATACACACAAATCAGCAAAAAGTGTCCTAGTACCCAACCTTCTCTTACATAGAGTAAGTTAAAATTCCACCCACTCATTTATTGACATCTATACAAAATTTAGTTGTACTCTAATTTTGACTCAATTTAAGGGAGATACATCCCTTTTTACTCAAATTTCTATGCAATCAGAGCTTGACACAGTTGCTTTTATCCAAAATTTTCAAATTGTCGTTCACTCCAATTCCTAGCTGCAACCACTCAAAACTTGACAATTTGAAATTTTCCATTGAAATATAAAACCTCATAATATTATAATTTTTTATTCAAACTCATACCTCATTTTCAGTAAAACTACAAAGGGTTGGTAATAGATTTAGAAAAATAAGTGGTATGGATAGGGTTAGTGATGGGCTACTGAAGATGGGGAAGAAATGCAAAGGAAGAAGAGAGAGAACAAATAGAGCAATTCCATCTTAGAAAATAAAATAGTGAATATATATATATATATATATATAAGATCATCACATATGGTAAATGGTTGGCCTAATTTCAGCATTTTTGTAAATAGTACACCCAAATTGAATAACATTGGCCTAATTTCGAAAGCATCTCAACCCAAGCATTGCCCTAAATTTTAATTTCAATCACAATGCCCTAATTTCCAGCATTCACATTCTGATTTGTGTGTGTGTGTATATATATATGTATGTGTGTGTGTGTGTAAACAGAGAGAGACCGAAAGAGAGAGGGAGAGACAGATGCGAAATGGAGGACATACCTGGGAGGGAGACTATGTGATGGTCCTGAAGAACTTGCGGTGATGGCGATTTTTGTACAAAGCTAAAGAGAAGAGGGCAGAGGCGTGAGTGAGACCCAATAAAAAACTAATGTAAACAGCGAGTGAGAGAAAGATGGAAACCGAGAGGCCATACAGAGAAGGGGAAACAAATCGAGAGGGAGATAGGGAGAGAGAGAGAGAGAGAGGCGAAATAGAGGACATACCTAGAGGGAGGCGAAATGGAGATGGAAACAGCGCAAGTGACAGAGGCGGGAGTGAGAGAGGGAGGGAAATAAAACCACGAAATGTTTATTCCCGACCAAACTTTATTTTGGTCGGTAATATATTTATGAAAATTAAATATTCCCTCCAAAATCGATTTTGGCCCTTTTGGCTACTGAATTATAGTCGGTAAAGCAAACAGATTTAGCGACCAAATTTTAAATAGTCGCCCAAACCCTATTTTGCACGACTAGCACACATTTGTAGCCAAAAAGTCATTAATAATATCTCCGAAAAGGTTCTTTTCCACGACTAACACATAATTAGTAGCGAAAAATTAAATGAAAACCAATAAAAAAAATTTATAATTTATAATGACAGTGCAATTAGCCACCAACATCATCTTTAGTCACCAAAAGTGAAGACAATTCCGACAACATGTATATTTAGTAGCAAAAAAGTGGTCTTTTACCGACCAAAAAGGTTTGGTAGCTGATGCATGTACCTTTGGCGACCAAATGTTGTTTGGTAGCTAATCTATCCACTATTGGCGACCAACTTTATTTTAGTAGCTAATTGGTAGACATTTGGCGACTAAATTTACTTTAGTCGGCAAAAGTAGTCGCCGAATGTGTTCTTTGTTGTAGTGCATGTAAATGCAATTATAATTGAGTTAATAATGAACAATCCATTTAAACTCATTTATTGATTTGAACCGGTTGATATGAGTTTTAAATGGATATAATTAGGGGAATTAATAGATTTGGGTAAGATTTGACACCTCAACTTCCAAACATGCCTGGGTTTCCACCGTAGGCAATGAATATCCATCTCTCCACTCTTCGGGCTCGGAGATTTCATCTTACGTAGTATGAAATCAAGGCATTTTCTCATAAAAAAGATTCCACCTCGGGTGCACCTTGAGTTTCCAATGCCACTTACAAAATGCAGTGTCAAAACTCTTTGGTGGAATAGCACGCCTCTGTGAATTGGATAGGGCCTAAAAATAATCTAACTTAACCGAATAATCATCATTTTTTTATGGCCCCCAAATTGGTTTATGAGGAAATGGGAAATGAGGGAAATGAATACCTTGGGTGGAAGGTATATGGGGTATATTTGATTCGTAGGATTATAGCATATAATTGGGATTGTTAGTTCATTTATTAACCAGATTACATGTACGATAGACATTTAATCAAACATAATTAGCGAATTTAATATTGAGAGAGGTTGGGATCATAATTTTAAATATGAAAGAAAAAGAATAAAATGAATATATAATAAATGATTATCTCACTAATTTAATTAGATAAGTAATCATACACAAATTTATTGAATTATTAATTTTTTCACTATTAATCTTGTTAATCAAACAAGGTTATAATGGTTAGAGTAAAATACATGCAATAAATTCAAGAGTGCTATTATTAGAACCCCATTAATTATTTTGGACCCCCCAATTTTTAACTTTTTTTTATTACAATAATAACTTTAAATGAAATTATTAAAAAGGACATTAATAATTTTGCGACACTCCATCTTACATAAGCCATACACCCACTACATCATGAGTTAGGATTTATGAGAGCACACACACTGCAACAAAAAACAGTTTTGGCAATACAACAAAATTCGTCTCCAAAAGGCAAAAATCGTTGGCAAAGAGCTTTGCCGACCCATAGAGCTTCGTCGGTAACCTGTCGCCGAAAGTGTGTCGGGAAAAATTTTTACCGATGAAAAATTCATTGCATCGCCAAAAGTATGTCTTTAGCAACAAACATCTTTGTGGGCAAAAGCCTTCAACCATCGTCGCCAATTTCCCATTGTGTCGGCAAAAGTGGTTCAAATAAGATGATTATGTGTCACTTTTGCCGACTCAAATTTGTATCAATAAAAATGATACTTTTGGCAACAACTTGATTGCGTCGGCAAAACATTTAATTGTTTTATAAAAAAAATTATTTTGGTATTTGGGATAGTAAAAATTACCATCACAAACAACAAATTACTTTCCAATAAAAAATTATTAAATAATATCTACACTTTAATTCATTGACATCTAAATATATATAAATAAATTCTATTTATGATAACAACACTAGCCCACATGTTCTTACAATCCAAAATTTAAGTGTATGTACAACAATACCTAAAGTTAAACCAAGCACAAAATAAATAAAATCAAGTCAATCCCAATTGGAATGATGTGTTTAATGCAACTATAGCATCATCAATGACAATATGCAAATGCATATGAACAAGCCTCTTCTCATTTCCAATTAGCACTGGAGCAAGATCATAATCTCCATCTTCAACAACCTACATTCAAGAAAGAAAAAGATTTTTTTATTATTATTAATATTGTCATAAATGAAGTTTTAAACTTGCATGATGATTCTAACCTGGATAATATTAATCAAGTCTACACTTGGTAATTTATTAGTCTTTGTGTCTTTGTTTAAGATTCCCTCTGTGGTGACTAATGAATTGGAGAAATTTCAATTTTATTATTATTATTATTTTTTTGGTAGAAAAACAAGCACATGATAAATAAAATTAAG